AAAATCCTGAGGTCTGGTCTAAACACTGCATGAACAGTTTTCAACAGGCATGACTCACATTATTACACCCCAATAAATGAAAGACAGTAAAAATGCTGACAGGTGCACTCACAGGAACGAACAGATTTCCTGTCAAATAGGACGTGAAGCCTACTTTAATTGTAGACATACATGGGATGTGTTTCTTTTAGTTCTAGATAAGTGTTATAAGTGTTCTAAAAACAAGGTTAACCTAAAATCAATATGTTTTATTTATTCCAGATTTGTATGAACAGTATTTAGAAGTCTTTTTATAGAAAAAAGTTGGTTTTGAACTACTTTACATTGTATAATCAAAATCCTTCAAGGTTTTTGGGGTTTTTGTTTATATGGTGTTGTTTCATTGCTCCAGTCTTTTATAGTACTCCTTCCACCTTTAATGTTCTTTTCAAATCCAGTCCCTGATGGTAACATGAATGAGTTGTATTAGTCAGCACTTTCTCAAATATGTGCACCATCATGTTTTCTTGTTCACTGGTAGATCCTTCTTTCTGTTTGTAATATTCTCTGCAATCCTCTGAATCTGCATTTGAATTCTCTTGAGCACAAACTGGCATAAACAGACAAAGTTTGTTAAATGAAGAATAAAACCATTTTCAATCAGGGAATAATTTCAGCAAGACTGAGCTAAGCACATAACTCAAATTGTTACCCGATTTATGTTCTGTGCTGTTTAAATTACCTGGCAAATTTTTCCATTTAAGATCCTGTGCAAGCTGAATATCCTTTAATGACCACATAAAATTATATTACTTACAAAATGTTATAATTTTTCCATCTTTTATCCTCGTAAATTTCTTTCATATATTTCTTATATCAAATGTCTGCCATTTCCTAGAAATGGAGCCTATTAAGGACTCATTGCTCACTTGTTCACTTCTCCTCAATCAAGCCTTTGGTGTTTCATACTGAGAAAGACATCAGATTAACTGATTTTCTTTTTCCTCTGAGTTCACGATATTTATTTAAATCCTTGTGGATCAAATCTCTGCAGCACAGTGGAAAAACCACGCTCCTGCCTGTCACATGTTTGTAGGTTTCACATGAGCAAAATATTCAATTATTGATGCCAATTTGATAGATAATCAATAATTTATTGGATCCTGCTGATTCAACATCTTTAGCATATGCTAGTGTTGTGAGGTTTTCCAGGGATGCTTCCAGAAAGTTATCCTATCAGAGGGGGTAGATAGCACGTATCAGTGTACTGCTTTGATTTATTATGAATAAGAGGTGAGCAGTGCATGTGTGTAAGCACACATTTATGTAAATTAGTGGAAGATCTGATGTGTCGATGTGTAAACCCCACCCCTTTCTAAGTAGTTAGTTTTCCGTATGTTTGCCAGGTTGGATGCATTATTACAGACACCGGGCAGAATTCTGTATAAACCGCTTGATGCAAAATAGGATTGTGGAGGATTAGCAAGATAAGTGTGATCTTCCTAATTTTTCTTTTTCTTTTTTATGAAACTCATCACAACCTCCAAGCACTTGAAATAAAAACACATTGAAAACAGTAAACAAATAACTTCTGGCTCATTTTGTTTGTCATTTAATGTTTTTGTGCACACAGGCCCTCATGGTGAAAAAGACTAATTATGCACATTTGTATTTTTGTTTCTAATCTTCAGCAAATGCAGACGATTACTGTAAAATGTACCACTGGCGGTGCATTGTTTGTCTTATTTTCTCTCAATCAGGCACTGCTGACACGGTTGGGATTATGTCCTCATTAAAGGTGACTGGTATACAGGCACTGGACCAAAAACACAGCTCATAGATCATCTCTCTGTGGCATTTCAATTTCCTTTCTCAATTTGGAAGAGACACAAACATGCTACATATGGTCATGGGAAAAAAAATCATTTTCAATTATGTGCAAACAGAAGCTGAACAAAACTAACACTTGATTCTGACCCCGCCTTTTATAAACTGACATGAATTCAAAGTTACTTTTCAATTTGGTCTGGGCTCGTTATCCTTTTGAGTATAAACCATTCCTGGGGTTGCTCCAGAGACAAGAAATTGGAAGTAGGAATTGTAAATTGCACACAGTGAACCTCATTAAAGACTTTCCAATGTTTTATTTGTTTGTGTTTTTGTTATTCTAAAGTTCTTCCAAGGTAGGTTTTCTTTTTTAATGATGGAAAGTATTGACACTGCGGAAAATATCAGTAAGCTTCCTGTATGGTAAAACAGGTGGTGTGATTTAGTAGAATAATGGATGACACAGACAGATTTAGATTTCACGCTGCTTTCCATCGTGATGCAGCCCCATCAGTTTGGGCCAAATTGCCCCGTAAATGCCCCTACCATTCCTTTCACACCTTATCTGGTGTATATTTCCAAATTTGCTATTTTGAACTCTGTTATTTTCACATTACTCTGTTATTTTGTACTACTCTATTTCTGCTCTGTTATTACTTTTTTATATTGGGTGATCCTTGTTCATGTTCCTTTGCATCGAAACTCTGTCACAACAATTTGCTGGGGGATCAATAAAGTTCTTATCTTATCTTATCTCCCTCCATGTCGCACTGATATTTGAAATACACCACAAAGTAGAAGATGATTCCCTGTTTTCTTCCTTCTGAGTGGGTAGTTTGAGCTTAATAGAGCCACATAGGAAAATGGCACTGGGTGCGTTGTTGCACTGCATATTTATGGAAAATGTCTCTAATTTGAATACCAAATGAGTTTTCATAACCCTATCACATCTTCCTCAACCTTATATCCCTGCAGTGACCCCTCTCTATTTTCCAGAAAATTTGCATGAACTGGGTAAAATAAGGAAACTCAGAAAACTTTGATCAGCTACTGAAACAGATGCTAATCACATAAAGACATGAGAAGGTCACTGGATTTAAAAACAACTTGTTTATGATTAAATCATACCTGCTTTGCCATTTTTCTAAACCAAAGCAAAGTGTCAGTGACAAGAGCTTAGAGCAAGAGAAACTGTGCTGACATGTGGACAAAGCCCTTCGCTCTGGCCTACCATTAGTAATTTTCATTCAGTTTAATGATTTTTGTCTTGGCCAAAACATTTCTTCCTGATGATTCTAGCTCACGATTAGTCCATTATGCCAATTATTTACACTATTTGTTCTGTAAAGACACTGAACTAATTTTTTATGTAATGACCTTGGATATTACAATTTCTGTTAACTCTTTTCCAAAGGCTTTACTTTGTGCGGAGTTCTTTTAAAGAACTGTCAGCATTTCAGTCAGACTGATGTGGACCATTGTATCACCTCAATCCTTTTCTTTTTTCAGACATTTTTCATTTTTTTAAACCATGGTTCTTTTGTATGACCAGACCCTTTGACCCTTTTTAGCAAAGCTTTTATTCTCGAACAGATGGCTGTAGATTTGACTGCAAAATGCTTGAGTTTTAATAGGAGTTCATGACAATCATGCTTTATAATTTAAATTAGGGTTTTGTTGTGAACACAGCACAACAGAATTTGTTTGTGAATTGAAAGAGGAAAACATTCTTTTTCACAGATATTTCACTACAACTGTTAAACAATAGAGAAAAAATGTAGTTACATTGGTGTTGCATGACATAATAGTCCGCAATCTTTGAACAAAAAAGCAAGCACAAGTCAAACAATGAAATAGGTCAAATAACAGATGGAAAAACCCATTTTGAAGAATATACTAGGAATTCAAATCTTTCATGCTATTCTGTATTTTTAGACAGATGTTAAAACAAATGCCATATTAGCTAGAGCGCCAAGGAAGAGCTATTTAGGCTTCTTTGAGATTCTGTCAGGTAATTTGTGATCCATCCAATGAGACCTTAACCTGGCAAACCAAAGTCTCATTAGGCAGGGAACAGCACCAGTATGTCCTGCTTGTCCCCTGTCACATTGGCCAGATATGCAGTTTGACCAGGCAAATTATATCTGCACACAGAGCAGTCTGATTTCTAATGATACACGTTTGAAGCTAAAAAGCAATGATACCACGAATAGAAGAAATATTGTTTCAATCCTCTGGTGTGCAAGTGTGTATGTGACTTGATGAAGATCTGTAAGGCTTACATTTACCAGCCAACTTAACGAATGTCTGCCTTAATTACTTGAAGGGTGCCACATTTCTTTGTTCATCTATGCTGGCATGTGGACAATAGGTTTTATCAGCTCGCATTTCACACTTACATATTGTAATTTGCCTTGAGAACCTTCCTATACCGAATCATGTCTTGAACACTTTCCAAGCTCTCTGTTCTTTTGTATTTCTCTCATTTAGTCCCCAGCATGTACCTCAATGCAGCAAAATAAATCCTCACAGAAAAAAATGTTCTCACAGGGTATGCCAGTTTCATTTAAAAAAAAAAAAAAAGACAAAGCCATTACTTCGAAGAAGAAATTATAGGAAAACATGGTTATGTCATTGAAGTCCTTTTTGGTTAGACCAACAACTGATATTTTATAATTCAATTACTTTAACATATGCTAGATCATCTATAAATATATAGTTGATATGTATTATTACATAGTGTAACAGCAAAACTTGTGGTTCATTTTGTCTTTTTACTACCTTAACCATTAATACACTTTTTGACTCAACTGAAATAAAACAGTGCTTTCGAAGTAAAAAGTAGATGTGAAACGAAAATCAAGTTTACAGGAATGATTATACTAACCGTGTTTAAAAACGACGACAAAAAAGGAGGTCTGAAACATTTTGTCCCATTCAGCCACCGTAGCTGTAGCTTGGTCTCTGGTTGCTTAGTAACGTCTGCACGTACAACGAATCATCAAAGGAAAAGGAAGCTATAGTTATTACTTCTTAGATAGCGTATTATCTTATGTGTTTTTTACTATTACGGGAGGGAGTGTAGTCAAGTAATTCAGTTGACAGGGGAATTACCACTTTTAAATTTGTTTAAAAGTGTCAACATTTGCGCTAACTTATAAGTGTTTAGTCTAACACGCTAATTGACGCCACACATGGAGCTGGACATTCGTCAGTATTTGGCCAAGGCGAATGAGAATCGAGGTTTGTCTTATAAAGATATAAGATGGTGGACTTTTTTTTTTTTTACACGTGTGCTTATCAATTGTTCTTCTTTTCTTTTCTTTTTTTTTTTTTGTAGACTCCGACGCTCTACAGTCTGCCTACTGTTTAATTAAAACTGCGGCAGAAGCTGCCGGCGGACGAATACCACGCATCTCATCTGAGCTGTACCTCGTTTGTGCGGAAGCAGGTCTGCAGGTGAGGTGGACCTCTCGCTGCGATGCCACCCAGTTCTCCTCTCAAACTGTTAGCCAACATGCTGCTTTTATGGAAAGCTGCCTTCCATAAACAACTGAAGCTGTTATTTATAGCTAACAGTTCGGGACACAGTCTTTTGAAAAATAAATAAGCAACATAAGACAGTCATTAACACCAATATTACGCTGAAAATGCTCTGTCAACAACAGTGTGGATTCAATTGGGTGGCTTTTTTCTTAAGGATCTGTTGGCTTCCACCTTCAGACAGTCAGCATGACACTTCTGAGGCTCCACACTGACAAAGTGTGAAGTGAGAAGACACATGCTCCAAATACGAAAGCAGCTTGACTCTCATGGAGCTGTGTGGAGTAATTTTTCAGGTCGATTGTAATACAAATGCTGGGGAGTCATGTAAGAAATGCTACTGCAAGCAACCTGAAAATGAAATACTTCCATCTGACTGTGAGAGCTGCAGGGATATGAATTACAGAAGCGATTGCCTGCTGTTGTGTAATATGTAGGATCCTCTTCTGTTGAGGTTCCTTTGTAATTAATGGTGCCTGAATTTAGAATGAATTACGTAGGTGAAAAGCAAAACTTTCTCTATCTGTGTGGGGTTGTTTTATACCAGCACCCAGTTGGTTGTGGTTTTTTAAGGTATCTGATTAAATAGTCTCTCTCTCGATTTTGGTTTTAATTGTATGCAAGAAAATCTTCCAATGAAAATGCCTTATGTGTGATGACATTTCTCCATGGCTTATCCATTATTTGTAAATGCTAGCATCAGAAGATATGAAACCGTGATTAGAACAGAAGCCAGTGCTTAACATGAACAGAAAGCAGATGTGAAAATAGCGCGTCTTCTGTCATAATTGGTGCATCAACCTCAGAAACGTGCCAACCACTCGATCTAAATGTACATGAAGCTGAAGTAAGCCCTGTGTCTGGCCTTTGTGTTGCTCTGTTTTCAGCTGGGGTGTGTGGAGATAAGCTCAGCGTGTCTAAAGTTGTATTTTGATGGGAATCAGCCGGCTAGTGAATTTTATTGCCGAGCCCTCCTCTGCCAGGCCCAGCTGAAGTCTCCGCCGGCCACTGGGAGTGTGGTGAGGACTGCGAACTGGACACATATTCTTCCAGATGAGCAGATATAGTGCCTCTTTGAAATGTTCCACTGGTTTTGACGTGGAATGTCATTCAATGTTTGTTTTTTTTCAATCTTTTGAATTAATTATCATTTAATTTAGGAGGAATTCCAGGAGGCTGTGAAGTGTTATCTGAAAGCCATTGAAGTTGCAAAGAATGAACCAAGGTATGCAACTGTTCAGAAATGTGCTGCCCTTTGTTGTCTCGGCTTCGGGAATGTTGACCGACTTGTGCTGTGCGCTGCCTATCTTCTCAGTTTGTATGTGGCACTGACTTCCCTCATTAAAGTGTTGAATCTAACAAGGGATGTTATTTTGGCTGACACTGGTTTAGTCTGCTGCAGTTGCATATTGAAGAAAGACAGGCTTGGTATGTGTAGTAGGAGGTTTTACATATTCCTCTCAGCTTTATATGTAACTAGATGTATGTGTGAGCAGGGCAGATGGAGTGGATGTAATAAAAGGACTTGTTAAATATGAAGTCCCTTGTTATTTGCTATGAAATACGCGCCTGTAGAAGCTGAGTTGCCCTCTACAAGCGATCACCACTGAATCTCTTCGCTAATGAACTTGTAACCTGTCAATAAATGGGCTAAATGAGCGTTCCCAATTAACACCAAAGGGAATACATATCTAATACATCCAGCTGAGGCTAATGCACAGCACACTCTCTGGCGAATAAATTAGCAGCCCTCAAACACTCTGTTCACGCATTTTTTTCTCCAGCGAAGTGCTTTGAATTCATAAATGTCTCTTATTTCACATCGAAAAAGCCTGTTGGGGCCTTTCGTCCGTCGCTCACTGAGCTGTTGGTAATACGCTCACATTTGCAATTCACAGGTCCTCTGCACACTGACTTGAGAATTGGTCTGAATTGAGTTGTACTAAGAGATGAAATGGCTTGTTTATGTATCACATGAATAATTCAGTCTTCTATGTTTACTTTTCCTGCTCTGGCTCTGTGTCCTAAAGATGCCACTTCATGGTCTTCAATGCGTCAGTGCTGTTCTTCCAGACAGTGCGTCCTCTCCTGCAGCCAGGCCGAGGCCTGCTTTTGGTCCCTTCTTTGAAAGAGGTGCTGCAAAGTCTGGAAGAGGTGTCAGACGAAGATTACAGCTGGAGGGCAGAGCTCATGATGCAAGTAACCCCGGAACATGTTATGTTCTTTTCAAACTCACAGGGCTGCCACAGTATTACAATACTTACATGTGATATGAGGTACACAAGGAAGGCAGGTCAAGAGTCAAATATGGCATAGAACGCAGGATATGATAGTTTTAGAATATACTAAAGAGTCAAGTCAATTTAAAATAAGATGAAAAAAAACAAATACCTTTTTATCTACTTGACAATCTGAATTTGATTAATTTTCTAAGAATTATTCTACCCTTTTCTATTCTATTCTATGGTACACTCAAATCACGTTTGAAGGAAATGTGTTTTTAAATCAGATTTCAAACCTATGAGCTGATGCACATTGGTGCTCTCCTGACTAAAGGTTCCAGTTAATCAAATTATTCAAAACATCCATCTGTTTGCTATACTGCGTATGTCTGGAATAAATGTGAGTAAGCTGGAGCCTGTCCCGGCTGTCGTTGGGTCAGAGGGTACACCCTGGACAGCTGAAAAATACAGAATTAATCACTGAATCACTGGAGTTAGATGATTATCAACTCCAATATCTTTTTTGTAATCAAGGATTTCTCATAAGTAAGGTTAGTGCTATGGTGCTATGGTATGCATGGTAAAATAGAAACATTTGACGGTATTTCGATTTCTGCACATAGCCACCAGCACAACATTTTAAAAGACTTCAGAGATGGGTGTCATGGCTAATGTCTACACGGTCTTCTGTTTCTGTTCAGGCACCTGCTCTCGTGTCTTGTGGACTCTGGAGAGGTTGAGGAAGCTACAAGCTTTTCCAAAGTCACAGAGGAGTTCATTAATTCACATTGCCCACATCTTTATCCAAGCCTGTATATGTTATTGGTAAACATCATGATGAATTTTAAATCCATATTGCAACATTTAAGCCTTTTTTTCAGCTTTGGGTAACTTTTTTTTCAAAGGCTCATATACAGTCGACTTTTCAGCGAGACTAATGTACTATTCTCTGACTTTTTGTCCTTTCAGGTGCAGCATGGGCTGTCAGAGGATGAGTTCCTCCTCCAAATGAGCGAACAGTGTTCCACTTTAGCAGCCATTTACAAAATGCAGGAATTTAAAAAGTAAGCAAAGCTCCTGCGTTGTTCTTACATAAAGGTTTATTCCTCCTGCTTTGACATTGTTGGGAGAATGAATTTGCTTTGCAGACAGATCAACCACCCCCCTCTTTCTCCCCATTGAAAGCTTCTTCCATCAAGCTGCAGCTAGGATAAACAAGTTCTGTAGCTGTCCACAAATGCTTTTAATAGTTTATGAAGCACAGCTGTTTGAAAGTGTGTTTTCTCTCTTTTTAGTTGAATGCCGCCTGTTTTTACAATCTCAGTTTAGATGCAAGCTGAGTCATAAACTCGAAGGCTCAACCATTGTTCCGGTGTATTTGATTTTTGTCACTTTTACACTTTATCTCTGTGTTTGTTCAATGCTTTTATTCCTCCATCCGATTTTTTTGTTTAAACAGGTCAGTGATCTGCCAGTGGCCAGGTTTAAGTAGCTGACAGTATAGCATAGTAGCGGGTTACTCAAACCCAGCCCCCACCTCCTCTCTGCAGGCATGTACTCAACATGTCAAAGCTCCTTATGGTTCTTCATTCCAGCGATAAACACTGACAGCGTGACTCAGTCTGACCCAGCCATCGTTAACACCTTTTTTTTTCACACAGTTTGTTTTGAGTGTATTAGATTGTTAAGGAAAATGCAATGGCACACACAGACCTGTGTGGTTTAATTTAAGCACTCAGGCTTTTCTTGTGTTTGTCAGGTGGATGGAATTTAATAAAAACAAGCCAACCGGGGAGGATTCTACAAAGCTGGAGGAGATTTTCTGTCTCCTGGTGGAACGCGCCGAAGCGCCTGCTATTCCTGTGAAGTCTCCCACCCAACAGAGTCCAACTTCCATCCAGCCATCTGACAGGTTTGTGACCCAAAGTGTCTTGATCAGATCTCCTTTGTCAGTGTGCCTCCTAAACCTCTCACTACCATAAACCCACGGCCCGGGAGCCCCGGCACGGCTCGGATTACTCCGCCGAAGTAATGCGAATTGTATAAATTATGTTTTATCTGGGATTTGCAGAGTCGCCTTCCTCCTGGAATTGGCTCTGCTGGCCTTGCAAGTGAAGCATCAGAAAGTAGCTGCTGACTGTCTGAAAGAGCTGCAGTCGGCGGGAGAAGCTGTGAGTGTCCAGTTTTCTCTTAAGAAGCTAAGGCTGGAAAAGCAGCAGCTGGGAACGCACATGTTATAGTGGCATCTGTTTAGGAAATATAGGATAGATTGTCTCAAATTTTGATAAACAGCTAAACACGATCTATGTTCTTGTTTCAACCATGTGGAATTAGACTTAATTTGCCAGGCTTTTTGTTCTGTGAGTCTTTTACAATAATTAGCAACGGGGAATGTGAAAGCTTATTTGATAACTTACAACTATTGGTAATAAAGCATTACGTCACCCTGGGGTTTGTGCAAGAACGGACACTGACCTTAGCTGTTACCTGTCCCCTTTCAGAGTGCTGACCAGCGCGTAATGATGGAATGTGTCAACTGTGAACTCAACCTCCTGAAGAAAAAGGCACATATGAAAGACTACTCCAAAGCCAGCGTGGAGGTGCTCAATGTTGTGCAACAATGTATCACGTATTACTTTCATTTAGAAGATGCTTTTATCCAAAGAAACTTGAAATCACTTAGAACTCCAGTATTTTGGCACGCAGGCTAAGTCTGCAAGGCCCTCGGCGCAATCTTTATGCTGATGGGCTTCTATGGGCAACAACTGTCCTCAGTGCAGAGTATGCCTGTTGGTGGGGTTTCCTGCCGTATTGCCCTTAAACACACCTCAGCCTGCACAGCTGTGGTTCCTGCCTCACACTTCTGCAGTGTCAATTTCCTTAAAAGAAGAATTTGTATGTCAGATTAGCCGGCAACCTTCAGACTGCAGTTTTGTGTTGGCTTCAGACATGCATTTTGGGTTGAATTGTTTTGCTAGGTCACAAGCGTGATGAATTATTGATACCTTAGCAGCTGGATCTGGGTCTGGCTGCAGAGCCACACTGTTCCAGCCGGTCTCTCTGCTTATTAGGGGCTGTTGTCCGAGAACACTGTGCATTTTCACAACAAGGCTGGAATTCCCTCCTTTGGGCACCACTCTAGAAACTGCTCACTATTTATGTCCTCATGTTAGTTTTTTTTTGTGTTCAGCTTGTCACAGAGAAAGCTTTAGTGTCCTCACACAACCAGTGCATGCTGGACATTTCTGTTGTCCTTCAAAATAAAAAAGCCTCCATTGACCGCATCTAATGGTCACTGCTACACATCTTCTTTTCAGGATTTGAAATTTCCTCAAATCAAAAAATACAAATTTTTACCCATGTCAGATTAGTAAAGTACTTTGAATTTAAATTAACTGAATTTTCTGTTGTCTTATGGCGCATTCCCACTAGTACCTTCTTAGCAAGGCTTGGCTTATTTTTGCATTTTCACTAGGGGCTGGCCCCTCTAAACAGTTACAACGTAAACACCCATCGACCTGTCTTTCTGCTTGGCCATCATTTGTAATGGAAAACCACCTAAACCGTGTAGAGCGGAGTAGGTCCTAATGGAAAAACGCCATTAGCTCTAGGACAAGAAATTGTAAACCTCTTCATCTCTTTCGTGGTTGTCCATGCTCTATTCCCAGTGACATTTTCATTTTCAGGGATATTTTCATTTTCCTCTTTCCGTCGCAAATTGGAGGGGAAGACGGATTGCGCCATCACGTAACCGCATTTCATCCCGTGCTGTAAAAAAACTGTGGGAATTAAGAACGGGCCCAGTTTAATCCAAGCACACCCGACAAGTGATAAAAGTGCGGTGCAGTCATTGCTGCTGGAGAGATCCTGAGTCTGCATTTGTTATCCCACAGGCTCGCCTGAAGGAGATAGGCAAGCTGGATCAATGTCTGCAGGCAGCGGTGAGGGAGGGGGGGCCTCAGGCTGTGCAGGCAGTGTGTGTTACCCAGTGGAGCCTCTGTCTGCCCCTCCTTCAGCACAACCTGAGGAAGCACATCAAGGCACCTCTTCTCAAGCTGGCCAAATGTTTGGAGGACATTCAAAGGTTTTTCTTCCCCGTCAAATTCATTGTCATGGCAGTTGATTTATCTATTTTTGCTGTTTTGTGTGCTTTATCCCCTCACAACATGCATTTATCTGGAAAACTTGACTTTACATTAGAGAAGTTAACTTGCAGAGAGACAAATGACCTGTCTCTCTGCAAGTTAAATAATGAGTTATAGATGAACATTCAGACTTGTATATGTCTTCTGCTTTCTTATGCTTTTGACTTGAGAGATTGTTTTGCCTCTTTTTTGTCTCTTTACATACGCCCTTCTGTCTCCACAGCCCATCTCCAGCTTGTATCTTGTCATGTCTTTTGAAATTTGTTTACTTTTGGCGTTTCATATTTGTGCTAAAAGAACGCTTTCCTCCTGCGTCATGCCTTGTTTTACCCACTGTCTTGCTGGCCCTTCCCTCATTAGATCGGCCTGTTTTCGGTGGCTCGTCGTATTTATAGCTTAGTCAGTTGTCAGCCTGGCTGTGTTCAATCCTGACTTGCCATTGTTCCCTATGTCGTTTCCTCTTTTTCTTCTTTTTGTTCTACTTTGAATCTAGTTAGCCTCAGCCTTTTCCCTGTGTTGATTTGTTTGCTTGTTTTTTTGTTGTTGTTTTTTCTTTCATTTCTGGATTTCTTTTGCTTATCATTAAATCTCACTTTTGTCAGTTTTAACACACGCCATTCCCATGGACCTATTTTGAGGCAAACATAACATACGATTGGTAAACATACAGCAGCTTTGTCCATCAGTCACTGCAAACCTCAGAGATGTCTTAGCCTACCTGGAGTCTTGTTTCCCACTTCACAACCCCCCCCATCAGTGCTGACTGAGGACACCTGAAACTGATTTTTATAGGTTTGCAATTAGATGTTGAGAAACAACATAAGTTGAGAAACAACATAAAACTTTTTCCCACAATTAAAAAATTTGCTGAACACTGATAGAAATGTACCAAAAGACTCCCAAAAGTGTGTCCATTGAGGTTTTTCCCTGCTGAGTTTTTTTTTCTATACATCAGGTTTATTTTCTACATTCTAATGTGAACTTTGGTACAAATTATTGTAATTTTTTAGACTTGCAAGTCATTAGATTTTCTCCAGAGTTGGATTAAAATCTTAATGTATACAGCTTTATCATGGTGGCTTTTTCCCCTGCTTCTGTCATAAATAATAGTAATGTAAATGTGTTTTCTAACTCTCACTTGATATGAGCTCTCACTGGCAGCCTGCGTGTGTGTGTATGTCGCCCTTATAGTGTGTTGCTGGAGGTGCGTTGTCAAGTCCACTCAGAGCTGGCAGTAATAGAAGAGGAGGAGGGGTGTCTGGAGGCATCTTTGACTCACCTCCAGAAAGCCATGCTGCTGGACGACGGGGTCCAACGAGAGCGCCTGTCGTCTGCTGTTCATCTCCTGCAGCTCAGGCGGTCCCCCCACCCCGCACCCGCCCGGGCCGAGGATAAAGCAGCTATGCTTATGCAGCAGGTTTTCTTCCCCCCCATCTGTTTAGGGCCCTCTAAATATTACGTAGCTCATTACAGAAGGCAGGACTTTTCCACACGTTAATGGTATTTCTAATAAGTTCGTTTCAAATGTCATTCGCCCAGAGGACTGTAAGAAAGCGGCCGGCTGCAAATTAGCTGTGACATCCCACCCTTTCATGTCTCCCTCAGACCAGGGACATGCCGCCTCAAGATCACACGGACAGTCGAGCCGTTCTGGTCTCTGTGGGTCTCCTTTTGGCTCCTGATGATTTTCAGGTGGCACTGGACGCCGACGACACTTCAGGAAGTACTAATGTTTTCTTCTTTGCCTTCGCTTTCCACTTCAACACTTTAGCATGTCACGGTCCACGTTTTTGATGAAATTCCTTGCTTGTAAAAGTAGTTCTCAAAACACAGATCCGGATGAAATATTCACCCTTTTTTTACTTTAAAGCCTCACTTGGGACAGGAAGACTAGCTTACGGCCACTCCGTATTCTCAGATACAGCTTTAATCTTGTCTGTATCTGCTTAAAGATCCATTTAAATCCAGGGAAATACCCTCAGGTTGTTAGTGCTTACTTCTGATGAGGGATTTCCTGTGGGCTCCTTCTCCTAGTCCAACTCCAGTTTCTCACCACTGTATTTGGAACAGTTTTGTCTGCTTTTGCGTTTTCCCCGAACTTAACTGAAGGAGTTTCATTCCATTCGTTATGCTTCATGAATATTTAATAATCAAACTTTTTCCGGCGGTTTTAAACAGATGCATGTGTTGATGCAACATCACGTTCGGAGCTCAGTGAGTAATTGTCAGATAAAGCATACGGATCAGTGCTGACTGAGTCCTTTTTTTACCAGTAGAATACACCCCGAGGACAGTGGCATGAGACAGTTACAGCCTCCGTAAAGAAGACACTCACTCACACTCAGACTGATAGCGGTGCCTCCGACCGATGTTTGTTTGCAGTGTCCAGTAAATGTGGCCCCACATTTTGGTCACGGTGTCAAACTTATTTGTCACCCTGTTTTTTGGGGGTTTTTTCCCATTGCAGAGAGGCTGCTTTTATAGTGCTGCTCAGCCTTAGTCACAGTGAAGCCCTCTCAGCTCTGTGGAGTGAATCATGGAGGAGACAGGCCCGAGCTTTGGGAGAGTCTTTGATCTCCGGCTCATTCCGTACTTCTCTGTCCAAAGCTTCAAATGAACATTCAGCAGTCCTAATGATCTGGGGAAGAATTCGCCTTTGACAGCTAGTCAGAGGGCTTCTTTCTCGGGCATGGGTTAAAAGCTCCGGCCTTTCAGAGGCACCTCTTGTTTTCGTCAACGAACCTCGAGCAGCTTCCAAGACACTTAATCATTGCGCTGTGCGCTTCAAAGCTAGCACATGATGTAACCTTTGAGAGGAGAAGAATTAATTAATTATTCACAGCATGTAATGTAGCCACGGCCCTGTATCGTTCCTCATTTATTTGTCAGGAAAGAGGGTGAGGATTTTCCCGCTCGTTTGGAGGATTTTCTTTGCTTCCTATTAGTTGTGTTTCCTCTTGCTTGGAGGGGATTTGGTACATTGCCCAAAGTCCATGTTTGTGAGAGTTCTGCATTCAGTTCGCCAGACTATTGTTGGAACCTGTATATATTATTTATGGACAATACTAGATAATAAAGTACAAGTGCATGTAGCACCTTAGCCATTGTCTTGTCTTGTAGGCTGCCTTGGATCTGAACCAGCAGTTCAGCTGGCCGCTAAGGCTAAGCATCACTCTGCATGCGTACAGATGGTGGGTGGACACCTGGCCAGACAAGGCGAGGATGGAGACAGTACAGAGAGGTTTGCGTTCCAACATTTGCATGTATCATATCTGACTAGTTGGTATTAATGAAAGGAGAGCGAGCATATGACCCATCATACTCCCTCGAAGCCCAGTGGGAAGATTACCTGTTTAATCAGACTTTCACGATTTGTTGAATTTATCACTCAGTGCTTTTGCTGAGCATTACATACTAATGGATATTTGATCTATTGGCTCTCTCTGCAGTTAGAGTCCTTGTATGATTATGGGACTAAGCAACTTATCATTACAACTTCTCATTCAGAGTGCAGCCACTGATAACCCCTGCTTTCCCCTATGATTACTTCCACAGCCAGCTCATCAGAGATCGCATCCTTAGAGGTCAAGACAGACAAAAATATAACAATTTTTCATTATTAATGACACTTTTAAAGAATGGGCAAATGTCAGTCAATTACTTTGTGCTGCTGTGTTTAAGCACTGGTCTCTGCCTTTGTAAAGAAACCCTCAGCAGAACTGCTCTTTATGTCTTCACCGTTTCAGGGCAAAGTTGTGGGCAACACTCGCAAAGTTAGCCAGGAAACTGGAAGTCTGGGATGTGTGCCGGGCTGCCTGTCGATTCTGTTTACTCTACGATGATGGAAGGTGGAAGATTTCCGAGACAGACAGTGAGTAGAGAAGATGAGTGACAGTAAAGAAACAGTAATTCACAAAAACTTAGCCAAAGGCTAAAGGAGTATGTACAAGACAAAAAGTGCTTTCACACAAATAACAGAGCATTAATGATTGGCTGCCAATGTCAATGAACTGAAGCCGATTTGAAGAGGGCAGTCAGAGGTTGAATTCTTTTAATAATGTCAGAGACTGATAATATAACACAGTATTATCAAACTACTGTTAAAACTTTCTCTGAGCCAGTTAAGTGTTTTTTTACTCATTTGGTGCCAGGTATACGTTTAAATAAAAAAACATGGAAATCTCACCAATTTTGTTTTCTGTAACAAATTTGAATATAAAAGTATTTTGACTTTTCTTTCCAGAATGCATGGAGGATGAAAGAAGTGAGGAGCTGCTTTGTGGCCATGGACAAAGCCAGTCCTGTGTGCAAATGCTGCGACTGTTAGCAGAAATTCACTTTATCAGCGCTGAGGTGTGTGTGCTTAGTTGTCTTCTCTAAAACAAACAAACATGCTATAACTGGACATAGCAAGGAGATCAATCTAAGCTATTCGCCTGTAGTCAATGCAAGCCAACCTACATGACTTCAGCCCGAAGATTACAGAGAGTGTCTTTTTCTAACTGGTTATTTATGTACAGTGACAACTTTGTCCATCTCACAATTTTTATGAAAATTTTTTAAATTCCTTAGTAGTCATTCTGCATTAAGGGTTAGTAATCTTTTCAGATTATAATCATTAGTATTATCATTTATTGATTTATTTTATTTATTTACAGGATTGAAATATAATTCATTATGATAATACAATCACATACATAAAAAGATGCACAGATCTGACTATAAATAAAGTTTTTCTCAGAGAATCCCTGCCTTTGAGTGCACTAATAATCAGTCATTTAATCTAGCAGAAACTTTTTTTCTAATATAAACAAAAAAAGAATGCATTTTATCAAGTTCATATTCAAAGTTTAAATGGATTTTCTCTTAACCCATTCAACTTTTTTTCTGAAAATAACATCTGTAACAAACACGGCGCTGTTCAGAGGGTTCTTTTCAGGCAGCCGTGGTGCAGTCAAAGATCGGTTGGAGTCAGAAATCATGGGGCTGTTCTTATGAGCTTGTCTTCTTGTGTAATCCCTCATGCCATCAAACCTGCGGCCCCGAGTCTCTATTAAGTCCATAGAGACACTAACTTGACAGCACTTTGAAGAAAATGAAGACAACTGCGCAGGGCGGCGACATGACCTTGCCAAAACTGACACACATAGGAGTCTTCCCTCTTGCGCCTTTCATGTATTCCCCTCTTTGTTCTGTGACACACTCTTATACTTTTTGTGAATTGGGTGATAGATCATTAATTTGAGGTTGCATTTCCCACAACCTGTAGACGAAGACCAGCTCCTATAGTCTTACCCAGGTTACCTGCCATTGCAGTTAAAAGCCAATCAGTCGGTTGGGATTTCATCTTTGATCTGTGCGGCGAGCTTTAACGCTTTTGGAACGGCTGTCTTTACTATGGCGGGAATCCCTCCTCTGATTTTATTATGGAGTTCACGCAAAGGAACGTGACCTCCTCAGTCATCATTGATTTTGAGAGATGAATGTGTTGCATCTTACGCAGGCCACTATCCAGAAACTGTTAGTAGAGGGGGTTCAGCTCAACAGCCCGGCTGTTCCACCACAGGAGGGCATGTCCGAAGAGGATCCTCACTGGATTACTTACAGGTAAAAGAAAAATATGCCAAAAACATGCATTTTGGATAACATAAACATTTCTCCTTTTCGTCTATGGTAGGTGAGTGTCTTGATAATTCAAGGGGACTGTCTCATTAGAGATTAGACCATACCATTAGACCATACAACAACAATGTTAATAGAATATAAAAGACATAGAAACATTCTCTATACACTGTCATGAATATCCCATATGTGCTCAGATTGTATTTACTGTTGCAGCTCAAAATATCACCACACTTATAGCTTAACCACATCTGTATTTACATGTGCATCCACATGGACATAGTTTTTTTTATTCGCATTAAGAAAATGTGCTGTTCTGACATTGAAATAAAAAAATATATATATATATATTATGTTTTAATGTCAGAACCTTTCATTTTTGGAAATAAGAAAAAAAAGGTTTAAAGTCATTGACTTAACTCCTTTATATTGCCCTGCTAAATGACGAGCATTATTTTATATGTAAAGCTGAAACATACTTTCAAGCCACAGCACGTTGCTTACAAACATATTCATGATCAATAACGCAACTCTAAGATGTAAAATAGGAAAAAATGTTGATTTTAAGAGGGCTGGAAAAGTACTGTGTGCATTGTTTGTTCACACAAAGCACACGTGACTATAATGCTAAAAAGATTATTTTAAACACGCAGACCCATTGGAAAAACAAAGTCCATACTAAAAACTTAAGAGGGGCATAGTGAAAAATGACATTGCTGGGGTGGATCTTGGGTGGATCTCCTTGTGGAATTCAAATGAAAGCTTATAAACCAGCATCACTGCAGAGACATGATAGCCTATTGGATTATTTAATGGTGTTGTTGTATTTTAGAAACAAGTTAGCATTTTGGGGTTATATTAAACGTATGCCATGGGAGGAACACTTTGCAAATATGCAACTGATAGTAAGAGGTTAAGTTTGCGTTTAAGTGCAATTGTTCCTCAGTAATAGTCACATCTAATGTTCAGATGCTAATGCTTAGGATTTACTATCGTGGGAATATTACTTTGCTTGGGAAGTGGTCCACATGCTCCTCATATTTGCTAGGCTCGTTCCAGACATTTGGATTACAGAAATTATAATGGCTTAGAGTGCATTAGCTTTCACCCTACATTATTTTCTTACTGTTAACAAGAAATAATTTGAGTGAAATTCTCCAAAGCTCAAAGTCAGCCTGTAGTTAGGGAAAGCCCTTCAATTTAAAGACAGTCCCCCGGGTCAGTCAGTGCTTAGAAAAGCTTCCACAGATCCTTCCAATAAACCAGAGTAAATGTATAACAGAGAAATGGTGTCTCCCACTATTGCTTTTTATTGTACTGTTTCATTCATTTTCTGCTGTAGTTGAGGCACCTTAACGTTGCTCTGTTGTGCAGTTGTGTAGGGGGACTTTCTCTTCCAAATTGACACCAGTTTCTCACTCTCTTCAACTCTCCTCTGTAACCCTGGCACTCTTTCACCTAGAGAATGGATCCGAGCTTTGTCTGCCTACTCCACCTCCAATTTCTTGCGTGCGGGAGAGCTGGGAGCAGAGATCGGGGAGCCGTGGGTGGTGGCAAACACAGCCGTTTACCTGTGGAACTATAATAACCACTTGCTGTCAGCAGGGGAATACCAACTCCTGCTTCCCACCTTCCAGACTCTGGTGGAAATGCTCCAAAGGACAAAGGACAGTGGGTAATGGGAGTCTCTAAATTACTCTGCTATTCCGTTCTGTTAGCGGGCAAAAGAAGAGGCCCCTGAAACCAAATTGTTGAGTCGTTTGACCAACAGCACTCCAAAAAGTTTTATTGTTTCAGTGCTGGAAAAAAAAATAAAAGTGAACCAAACTGCTTTGCCGACAAAGAAAATCCACTAAATCTGCTGTTTATGGCGACTTTGATCACTTGTTAGTTTATTATTCAAAAGTTGTCAGCCTGGATGAAACACAGCTGTTTTTAGAGTGATGACCATGGATATATTGAATTATTCAGTGGGATTTTGAAAGACTTTTATCAACCCCGCAGTCATTTCATCTAGCCCCTGCTGTGATTAACTCAGGTACAGAAAAAAAACAAAAAGAATTTCATCGATACATTTCCAGTAGCAATACTAAAATGTCCATTTATCCATAGAGGAAAAGGCATTTTTAGACGCAGGCAAAGTTGACTCATGAAAATGCATGTTAACTTCATGCCCTCCGAATATGGGACAGAGTAAGCTCCGCTCATGTTTATGCCTTCGGAGCAGCAAACGCTCACGCTAAAAACAAATCAAACTGCCTTTCGGCTTTACGCCGTAACCAAGTGAATTTTAAGCGCCGTGACCTCATTAGCTGACAAGCCGGCTCCTTCAGATTTGTGGTAGGGCTAGTCACTTTCATGAGGAACTTTAAAAAAAAAAGAGAAATTTGAGCTTTGACATCCTGTTATTTATTAGTCCCTACAGAGTATTATTGTAAGTATTCTTTGTGCCGCGTGCCTCAGGAACCGCGCCCTGTGTGTGCTGATGTGCGACGCTGTGGCCCGGGGGTTGATCCAGCCTCTGTCTGAAAGAGAAAGTGATGAGCCTGCTCCTGGAGGAGACAAGGGTAAAAACAGAGCTGTGCGGGGGGCGGAGAAAGCTGCCAGCACCCATGGGGCGCCGTTAGACCCTGCTGCCTTACAGGATGCCCGCAAGGCAATAGAGGTATGTCACTCTGTGTATAGACAAATAGCGGCAATGGAAAGCTGTTTGGCTGTGAGTACCTAAATAATCTGAAATATACAGATTCCTAATGTATCAAATATCTTAAATACATTGACTAGTCAAAAAAAAAAAGTTTCCACCGCTATTTTACAAAGCAAATAGGAATGGGAATATCTTTCTGCTGGTAACAGGTTATTTAATCCTAACTGTTGCAATAAGTAACTTAAATAGTTTTTATGCTTCAAGTGGCATAAAACATAGGAGGAGATTTCAGAAACTACTAAAACTGGGTTAAGATCTGTCCAACACCTTATTAAGAACTGTAAGGAAAGTGGGGAACCATCGTCTTCAAGGCAGAAATATGGTCGGAAAACATATTTTCAAATCTAATTGAAAAAATCAAAACAAACAAACACTTGGACTGTGCTCAGTAGTGACAGTAAAAGCATTTCCACACACATGATGCGAAGGGAACTCAAGGGATAGGGCCTGAACAGACGTTTAGCCAAAATAAAGCCGCTAATCAGTGAGTCTCACGAGACAGAAAAGTTTCAGTTTGCTAGGGAGCATAAAGAGCATAAAGTAGCTTTAAATTACAAATCAAATCGACCTCTATATGGCAAAAATGATCCCAAAGGCATTGATCATTATAAAATATTTAACCTGATACTTCTGTGGAAGTTAAGAAAGGATTAAACCAGAAGAAAAAAGTCTAGAGAAAAGGTAGAGTACATTCCTATGGGTTTGAAAACTTAATGTATGATTCATAAAGTAACATGCATCCGGGATAACCCAACATAGGCCTACATGCATGACACATAAATAATTAAACCAACATTTGACTTGAAATCTCAGCGGCCTTTTGCTTTTTTTTTTTCTTAGGTTTTTGTATGAGCACACACGGCCGGCCTTCTGTATCTACTCCCCCAGACCGTTTGTGTAGCTCTGAGCTTCATTCTCTGATCTCCTGTCAGGAAAACAGCATCTGAAATCTCAGATCTCAAAGCTTAAGAAAAGTTTGGGAACTGTTTGAAAGAAACCGTTGGAAGGGGGGTACTTGCAGATTTCTGTAATGCAGCTTGTTCAGACAATTTGATTTTGATTATGAGTGTGGAACCTCAAATTTACACCTTCCAAAATCCAAAATTTCAGCTTTTATTGCAGAGTTTAAAGCAGTTTCCAAATAATTTCTGCCTATGAATGAGTATTCTGATCATTTACGCTGCCAATTACAGCTAGATGAATCGCTCAGTATTATGCCCTATTCACTTTAAATGCTACTTCTGAAATATGTCAAATGTCTTTTCTCGTGTTCTTTGAATGATATATGCGGTCTGCCATGTCATGACCATACCAAGGATCTGCTGTCAAGGTACAGCAGGCACCCCAGAAAATATGTAATATAATAATAATTGTCGTTTTTTCTTATGACGACTCAATCTTATTGCAGCTTTCAGAGGATTTTAGATTAAAAAAATGTAGGATGTACACAAAAGCCCGGTGAGCAGCCAAATGCTAGTATACTTTAGACTTCTAAACATGTGTGCGTATCAGTGTTTAGGAGAAGCCCTTTTCAGGAAGCATTAGTACTCTCTCAGAAGGATATCTTGATAGATGTTATGAGACGTTGTGTTATGTTATATTGTATATCTTGTTATTCTTTCAGCCATGCGTGCAAACACACTTACATGAAGCTTTCATGTCTGATTTCTCTGTCTTCTTTGGTGGCAATGAAACCACACGTATTTTTTTTTACTGTCAGGATCCACCATGAATATCAGCTCGAGATTAAGATGAAAGAGACTACACTGTTACTGAATTATTAACTAAATTCCACCGTGTCCGCTTGCTTTTCATGGGAAAAGTAAGAAAATACATAAAGGGTCAGATGAAGTGTGACTTAGAATAAAGTCATGCCAAATGCTCTTTGACTGGAAGTTGGCCTCAGGCCAGAGACAGTTCGGGGTCACGTAGCACGCTATATGATGGACAATTTGAGTCACGTTTTTTCTTGATAAATGGGGCTCAGGCTTATGCATTTTCTGATCTTTTTTCTTCTCAGATTGTCCTTCTTGTACAGTGTGCTCACTAACAGAACACTCTTTATTGATCTCTCCTGTGTCTCACAGCTGTGTGAGTATGCCCTCCGCATATCCAGTTGCCACATCACTGGGGAGACTGTCCCGATTGCAGTAAAGAAGAAAGTGTTAGCCACATGGGTGCAAATCAAAAGGATGCTGCAACAGCAAATCGGATCAAAGTTGGACATGTTAAATGATGAGGTACCTTTCTTTGACTTTACCTGTTTTCCTTTTCAGTCTCTTATCCTTGTAATTCATCATAGCAGATGACATTACCTCCAAGGTTAGTCTGCGTTATCATCCTAATTGTCCTATCGTCCTAAACAAAATGCAAACGGCTTGGTGTAGTCTTTCAGTGTAGTGGCACTGACTGTAAAAACATGGACGCTTCTACTGCCATATTGTGCCCTCATTTATTTTTAGTTCCCTCTGCTCCTCGAAATCATACAGTTGAGACATTATTAGTCTACATTCCAGGCTATCAATTATTTTCATTTGATACCTTATAGTTCCATCGTGTAGAAATCCCCACATTTTTTATTCAAAGTCCCTCTAATTTTCACAACACCGTACAGTTAACACTACCCTCATCATGATTAAGGTGGGTTGTGTTCCTTCATTGGTACAGAGATAAGTTATGTGTATCTTGCTAATTTGGAGAGAAGCTGGAGAAGTGAATTTTAGAAGGAAGCCATTATTAGGCTTGTAAAAAAGACTTAACCCGGCAGAGATTTTGTTCAAACTCTAGGATTAGCTAAATGCAACAGTGTGGAATATCATTAATAAGAAGGAATGGTAAGCTCTGTAATCACAAAGCGATTTATTGGTCAACGGAGACCCTCACTGCTAATGGGAGGAGCAGAGGTTTAAAAAGGATTTTTTTTCTTCGTTTCCAGGTTGTTTTACAATCTCATTGAGATTGTGGTGGTAAATAAGCTAAATATCTAACTGTATTGGATGTGAGACTCCAACTATCAGTGGGTTTATTTCCATTACAAACTGAAGTCTTTTACTCCTTATACTGCCCCATATTAACATCCTTATTACTCATAGGCTAATCACAGACAACATTTTTTTAACATCTAGCAGTTGAGCATTTGCCTATTGATTGCACATTCACAATCTATATATTTAGAAGTTTTTACAAAAATGTTGGCTACGTGTGTAGCCCTTCGATTTGCCCCCACTCTTCACCCTTTCCCTCTTTCACTCATGTTACATCAGCTCTTAAAACGTCAAATCAATACACAATCTTACACAGTGCAATCCCTGTTTGATCCCACCTCCCCCGACCAGATATATAGACTGCTGACCTTTTTCCCCCTTTTGGCATAACAGAAGAGAATTTTCTGAAAAATGTAGCGACATTTTTATCAAACATTAATCAGTGTTATATCCGATCCTGTCCAAAAACGTTGTATTGTCACAGTCAAGTTGCAGCTAATTTGTGCAAAACTTTAGACAAAGCATAAAGCATGCAACAGTATCCACCATAGTCAAATTTCTCATGCCAAAAGGCCGTTAATGTTTCATCTTGGCATATTTAGGTTTTTAGAACAATCAATCTTCTAAAAAAATGTCGTTTTGGTGTCCTACTTTTTAATCTGTTCAACAACAGCATGACATAGTTGCTATCAACTTTTGGCTAGAGCTCTTTTTATTTAACCTGAAGGCACCATCTCCGTAGTTACTGCTGTCTGTGAGATAAGAGGCTCTAAGCTTCACGAAACTTCTGGAAATTTTCATAGAGTTATGGTTTTACTCGTAGGAATAAGGAACTGGCATAGGAAAGAAAATGAAGAAGAACACTCAAGCAGAAAACCACCGCCTGCGAGCCAATCCATTAAAAAAAGCGCCAGAGAATATGACAGTTTAAAAAAAATTATTATTACCCCTCTTCCAACATCCCATATAAATGGTGGGATGTAACAAGACCATATTATAATATATATATATTGTTGATTTTACTTTGGAATGGAGCTTTGGAATGGTGGCTTGCATTTGAAACCCACTTCAAATCATGCATGTGTCATATGGGAACTTCCATAGGCACTGCAAAAAAAACAAGCAAGTTTCAAATCTAACAAGAAAAACTATAGTACATGCAAGCACCAGACCTTAATTTGTTCTGAGCATTTAGAACTTTACATGCTCATGTCTGAATTGCCTGCATTATATAAACCATCATGGCATTAAACTTCACATTTCAGATTGTTTTATGACAGCAAAAGTTGACACATCTCCTCGAATAATCCCCACTTGACATTCAACCATCCTTGCATTTCATCTGCCTCCTTTTAGTATTAAAAACAGTACGTATCCCCAGTGTCCGCTGACCGGAAAGAGAAAATAGTTTTTCTGATGCCGGGAATCCATTATTTAACTTAATTTTCATTTAATTTACTTATTTTTTATTGGTAACAAAGACATATGATGCTGTTTGAAGAATTGTGTGAGAAGTAAATGTATTATTATGTATTATTTATTATTTATTATATATTATTCATATGCTTTTGAAGTTGGAATGACATGGCATTTTAGTCATAGGGTTCAGTTGGCAGAGGTAGATAAAAAATAAAAAAAACGTAAATTATAGAAACCGTCAAAGTTCTCTCATTTTTTTCTGATGTGAAAATTATTAATAGAATGTACAATTAAGCTTTTTTCCAAACCCACTCATGCAATTACTTTCATCCTCATTCTGAGGGGCTGTCATGCTTTTTTATATTCATACCAAGAAAGAAAAAACAGCTAATTGAGAAGCTTTTCATTATTCAACAAAATATGCAACGTGAAAGAGGAAATAGCATAATTGTGTCATATTCAAAAAATTCCCAGATTAGGGTCCTCTTGTAGTTCTTCTATAATGTGCTTATGATACTGTGGGCTTATGATTGCTGACATTAGAATTAATATTGTTGACGCTGTGGGTGTTGCGTCAGCCCTGTCCAAAATACAGGATTTTCCTGGTCGTTCAGAATTATGGTGGGACAGAGAAGCTGTAAAAGCACCTATATGCAATTTAGGATTTAAACCTTGGAGATGCAATAATCCCACAACTATTTGTCGGCCAAGAATTTCCAGCCCCGCATTACCCCGATGTGCTTTGAGTCAGGACCGTAGGAGGTTAGTTTCTTGGAAAGGAAGGACTCAGGGAACATCTCAGTAAATTCTTTTTTTAATAGTTCTTATAATTTAGTAAAGACATGACATGAAGGCGTTTTACAATTGAATGCAAAATAAATAGTTTTAAATTTGATGGCGGAAGATGGAGAATGAGCCAAATCCAAAGAACAGACGAGGCTGAGGCAGAGGCAAATGGGATCTAATTTAATTTAATTTAAATAAAAGGTTTGGCCAAACCAGAGCTCAAAAAGACACGAGTGGGACCACAAACGGCAAAACCTGAACCACACCCACACTGGGTACAAAGACGCAAACCAAAATAAGACATAAAACCAAGGACACCACTGAACAAAGACCAGCACCACACCAAATAGTAAACACACCAGAAAAACTCAAAAATAAAACACAAAACTCTGAAATATCTCAGAAAACGTGGGACAGCAATTCCCAAGGACCAGATTTTGACATCTCTTCCATATGAGACACTTTACGGTGAGAAGCAAAACTCTGAAAGATGTTATTTCTATGATCACACATGGATCTGTAGTCGGAAGAATGACTGGACTGAAGGCCTCCTTGCGATTTCTCCTCTTCTTTTTATTATTCTGTTTCCCGTTCACAGGCAGAGAATGAAGAAGAGTCCGCAATGATGAATGTGCTTGTTGGAGTGGAGATGCTCCGGTCCAACAGAAACCAAGGCCACATGGCGTTTTCTGTCCCCAGCCTCTCTGCAGTACGTGGATGTCTATTACTGTAGCCGTTGCTCAGTTGGCAGCAGCAGATGACCTTTGAGTCCCCTGAGCCTTTTCTTGTATTGCATCATGTGTCAATCTAGGAAGAAAAAAATGTTCCTGCCTTGATCATCAGGCTTTGTTCTCATTATCAGACATTTGCGGCGCACTTCTTCCGTAGAGAATTCCTCCCTCTAACGGTTTAACCCTTTGGTGTTTTCCACTACCGCACGCTCATCTTTCTATCTCCACTTAGTCGTTTCCTCTCTCCCTCCCTCCTCTCTCTTTCTTCTATTTTCCTCCTCTCTCCCACACTCCTGGCTGCACTCGCCTCTCCTTTTGATTCTGTCCCTGTTTTTCAATCATTCTTACCCCTCATGTGTCCTGTTTTGTCTGCAATTTGTCTTCATCCTCCTGCCTTTCATTTTCTGCACGAATCCTTTTAGATCCTCTTGCCTCCTTTGTCTGTCTCCTACTTACTCCTTTAAACTGTAACTTCCTGCATTTTCCAATAGTTTTTTTCTTTGACTCTACTTATTATTCTTCGTCCCTACTTCCTTTAATCCCTGCTCATCTGTCTGCTCTTCTTCCTCTGTCTGCTTTTCTTTTCTCTTCCTTGATGCTTCTTTACCCTTCCCCTTGTGATATCCATCCTTCTCTGTTGTCTCCTGTTTCCCACCCATATACATCTTCTTTCCGCTTCCTTCCATTGCCCCTGCTCATATCTCCCCCTCTCCCCCTGCCACCCCCTCTAAAGCTGGTGAGCATGGCATCTGAATGCAGCTGGACCGATGCTTTGGTGGAGCTGCAGGTGTGGTGCCAGCTGGCTGCCTTCTGCCACCACGTCAAGGACCACAGCTTGGTGTTGCAGTGCACCCAGATCGCTCTGCAGCTGGGGGAGGCAGCAGCCAAGAGCCTCAACACCACGCCCTGTGTTTTGTACGTGCATTCACAGTTCATTCAAACAGAAATCACTGCAGAAATACTATAGATTACTGGTTACATTTATCCTCACTTAAGACTGAGAGTGCTTTGCAAGTGAGTAGTGTACATTGCTCATAGGTGTGCATCTGAGGAACAGGGGACATCTTGTGCATATGTTGGAGAATTGCACTCAGTTTGTGTTTCCACTTAAAGGCCTGCCCCTTTATTTTTTCTTGCGTCTGTAGGTACAGCCCTGATGTTGTGAATGAGCTTCTGAGCAGTGCCGCCTGTTTAAGGGGTTTGAGCTTAGTCCACAAGTCGAGTGGAGATCAAGATGCATACAAAGAAGCTTTGAAGGTCCTGCTGTCGGGTGTCAGGTACTGCGTAGAATAAATGGAAAACTCTGCCTCATGCCTTAGCTTTTATCCGACTTGTCCTTTCTTTGGTCCGTAGCTTTGCGGAGAAAGCTGGCAATCGAATATTATGCTCTACAGCTGCCGGGCATTACTGGAATGCATGTTTGCCTCTGACACAGACTCTGGAGGGAAGAAGTCTGCTCAAAGAGCATCTGGAGAAGATCCTCAATGCCCTTGTCCATACTACCAAACATGAAAAAGTATGAAGCAGCAAATGAATACTTTAAAACATCTTTCTTTGTAGATTTAGCTGACTTGGCGACAATTTGTGGATCCGTTATTTTTTATGACCACATGCGTCATTTATGGGATGAGACAGGTACACAACTATCAACTTGGATTTCCACCGTGAATCACAAGTTGGTTTCGAGCTGAAACTTTGCACCAAAAGCTGTGAAGCAGCACAGCAACAATGAAAATAGGAAGTGTCTTGAGTAATTTATCTGCATTTGAGCTCATCACAGGGGAAATTCTAGCAGAAAAATCACAACAGAAGGAGTTAAACTCCCCCCTCCCTCCCCCTTGATCCTTTTCTATTCCCTTTTTATTTTATATAAAGTCTTTGCTTGTAGAGAGAAATGTTCTCAAAGTCTCTAAACCTACTCAGCTTTAATTGATGTTAGAATTTCTGGGAATTTTTCTTCAGTGTGCTTCAGGGAGAACTTGGGGGTGTGTTCAATTATGCAAAAAACATCTCCCCTGCCAGTGGGATAAACAGTCATTCAACTGAAAAATAACTTTAAATGTATAATTAAATGCATCTTATGTGAGGATTCGGGATGACGTTCATCTGGGCAGCATTTGATGCTGCTCATGAAGTGCTGCAAACGTGAGCTCTGACGATTGGACCTTGATGTTCTGGGATGACACATTTCATGTACAAAGGCCTTTTCATAATGCATTAAGATACCTTAGACAAGATACGCACTGCTGTGATTGTCTTATGAGACAAGTGATGTGGAATTTTCTATATTAGATAACCAAGTGTGAACATCAAAAAACAATTCACCATGTATCTGATTTGCACCCAATGACTCTTGTTGGCAATTCTGTTCTTTAATACTTTTCTTTTATTGTGCCAGGAACACTGTAAATCGAAGAAACTTACAGCCTTGAGAGCTTTGCCTGGTTGGAATTCTAAACAAAGAGCAACAAGTAAGTGCTAAAAGAACCCCGATATTATTCAACTGTGAAATATTTAATGTCAATGTGGTGGAATTTGGTCAAAGTTATTCATTGGGGCTTTGCATTTACTGTTCTAAGGTGTACTTAACCCATTCCAGTCATTATTTTTAATGATAAGAAAATGAGAAGGCCATTTTTTTAGTATATGTCTGTATAATTGTGTATATGGCTCTTTTAGAGGATGAAGAGGATCCAGCCTTGAGAACAGCTATTTACAGTTTATTGCTCCACATCCACTCCGACAAAGGAGACTTTGATGGCGCTCTGCGGCTGCTGGACAAAGCTATAAAAGACATTCCTTGCTCCATGCATCGGATGTGAGTAAAGAAGAAAGAAGTCACAGAGGACTGGGGAGTGGAGATGTGAGAGGGGACGAGAGAGGCACATAAACGGGCGGATGATTTGACTTTATCTTGTCTTTTCTCAGGCCGTTGCTCAAATATCGCATTCTGCTGAAAGCACGCCGGGGTGAAAGTATTTTGCTGGACATGCAGAAATTCCAAGATGAATCGGGGCAGTGCTGTTCCTTAATGTGGCACCAGGCGGCACAATGTGATGATACCCTGAACCATCAGTTGACCTACTATCAGAGGGCCATCGAGTCTCTCGGGGTAAACTCGGCTCTGTATCGTCACTGAAAGCTAACTGCCACATTTGAACCACTATTGAGGTTTTAAACGGTACGCCATAAACAGAGGAAATATTTCAGGAAAGGGCTTTAGCACCATCATGTGGAGCCAGCATGTCATTGCAAATCCAGCCTTGTGGCTCAAACATGAGGAAGCATTTATACACCGTAATTATGCAATCAGGCCTTTTGTCAGTCGAGAATATGATAATGTCGCAAGGGTTTAGAGTAGATATCTTGAATAAATAAGTAAATGCGTAAATTCATAAGTTCTTTTGTGTTTTTAATACACTTTTGTTTACAGAGCACTGAGACTCGGTGGCAGAAAGTCAGCCTCCTGCTTGAATTTGCTGAGTGGCTGTACCGTTCCAGCTTCCCCAAAGCAGATGCCCTACAGCAGGCCCAGTGGGCCATAGACATGCTGCTACAGGTGGAACCTGACCAAGCAGGTAAGACTCACCAAATCAACTTGTTAAGAAAACTATGGCATTCTCCTGACACACATCTTTTGCCATGTGGGTTTATTAACAACAAACTGAGAAAATATTGATTGGGTGAAGAAAATTGTCATAGAGGGACATTTTTTCTATTGACATAGCTTAGAGTAAGCCCTTGTAAAAAAACAAAAAGTGAAAATACTGTCTCCTTGTTTTTTTTTTAGAGGTTAAATCTCAAAGCAATTTGACACCAGTGAAACTTGAATCCTTGGAAGAAGTCAACGGCGTATTCATACAAAATCTGTCCAGTCTTAAGGAGGTGCGTCGCCTCGACTACTTGATACAAGCGCACGTTCTGCTCGCTGTCATATCAGACAAGACCTCACACGAGCATCAGCTCAGCCTGCTCCGGGCTTACACCTTTGTGCTCCAAATATGGCAGGTACGACATAGATGAGCTCCGCTAGCCCAGCCGGGAATACACATGTAGTACACTGTTTCCAATGTTCCACCGCAGGTTTCTATGGCTGTGGCTTGTGAGATTTCAAGTGAGATGGCCATGAGTCAGCCACAGCCGTCTCCTCCCTCGGCTGAATCCAAAAAAGGCAAAGACAAGGGCAAAAGCAAGAAGGTGAAAGATGTAAGTCATACAACTCAAACAAGACAGTGTGTAACTCACAGCAGGAGGTGTCTACCCATTGTTGGTGGTACAATATTGATATATAGAGCATGACTCTATATATAAACCAAACTACCTTTGATAATTATCCTTTTTTTAAATAATGCTCGCTTCTTATCAGTAATACAACAAAGCTTCTGCCCTTTCTGCCTGAGGAGCCATCTCCTACCGAGGAAAGAAACAAACCAGTTGTGTTGGACGAGACACCCCCTTCCAGCCCGAGGGATTGGGCTCGTTATGTCTGTCCCAACCAGGCCAGGCAGATATTCAGGACCAACAGCAGCCCCCACTGTATCAACACACACAGCATTACAAATCAGGCATGTGGAACTCCCCAACTCTCATTTCCAAGCATCAACAATGTGCCAACCGTGGTATTGTGTCAGATCTTTTCTTTTCTGATGTATTTATTTTGTGCTCTATCCGCTGCCTGCGAAGAATCAAACGGCTTTAGCTGCAAACAGCACCAACTTGACATTAATATTGCTTTGAGGCGCTGCTTTTTGTTGGTACCACTCATTGATCATTTGGGATTGAATTATGATGTAGGAAGAAGTTGAAAGGCCAGTGTTCTGTGCTGGCATAGGGTTATGGAAGGACATCTGCAATTAGGGGGAAATATTTGATTAGATTGTTGAGATTTCATTAATAAGAATAGTGACCAAGCCTTGAATGGTGCGTTTGGGAATATTTTTATGAAGACTGTTTTTATATCCTTCTTTCTCCATGTTTGTGCATTCCCACAGACTCAAAGCCTGTTCTTTCTATCCCTGTTGGAAAAAGAACTACGCTCCCTCTCACTTGATCACCTGACTCTGCCTGTGCTGCACCTAGCTGAGACCATTGCTAATGACCTTTTAGACAGAAAGGGCCTCTCCGACCTCTATAGGCTCAGGTAAAAAACACGAGTTGAAGGCAACTATTCTGGTTTCACAAAAGTCAAAAGTACAATTTTATGTCATTTTGAATTGTGTGACAAATTCTGCACAGTTTTTTATTTTTCTGTTTGTTTGGGGAATACACAAAAAGAAAAGCACAAAAGAACATCAAAAGTTGGGGGAAAAAAGCATTATCTTGTTGGTGATGCTTTCAAAAAGCTTTGACAGAGCTTTAGAGTATGATTAGATTTCAAGAGGATGACATCATGGCTTAATTAAACAAAATTTCCCATGTTCACTAAAAATGATGAAAAAAAGGAGAATAATAAACACAGTGTCAGCTTTAAGGTAGGCATGTGGACTTTACAAAGATTCATTACCTCTTAAGAGGGAATGCGCTTGAAGTGGGACCCAAGGTGCAGAAACAAACTTTGGAAACTGAAATTCCCAAAAAGTTTTAATGAAACTTAAATTCATTAGTAAAAAAAAACCAAAAGGTGCAGCCACGCCAGATTAACCCAACACGAACTTCCATCCCCCATTTGCAATATTTCTTTCTTAGTAGGAAAGGGAGGAGGCCCAGAGGAAGACCCAGGACACGCTGGAGGGACTATGTCTCTCGGCTGGCCTGGGAAAGCCTTGGGGTCCCCCCGGAGGAGCTGGCAGAAGTGGCCGGGGGGAGGGAAGTCTGGGTTTCCCTGCTCTGGCTAGTACCCCCGTGACCCGTCGCCGGATAAGCGGTGGAAAATGAATGGATGGATAATAGAACACCAAAGATAAACAGAATATATCACAAATAATAACTAACAGAACATATAGGGGACATAAAGACACAAAGGGGGGCGCTACTACAAGTGGTTTACGTAGAGGGAACATTTGACAAGAGAATAATCAATAAGTTATATTACCATTTTGAGTCAAATCTCCTATCAGAAATGAAAGAAACATAAAATCCCGTCTCCAAGACCTCACCGGCATCACTTCAGTGTGCTCTGGCAGGTCATGAGGGTTAGCCTCTCCATTAAGAGGCTGTCAAACCAATTCACTCCCCTGGTTCGCATAACATGATCCATCCCCAATGACTTACCGCACGACTCTTCCTGATTCAACAGCCCAAAAACTTATCCTTCCATGTTCAGCCCATCATTTTTCTTTACATTTTCTGTCCTGGGTGGTGCCCCACCTGTAGCCAAGCCAAAAAACAACCCAGTGAGCAACATAATGCAATAAATGATTTAATGCTTTGCTTTTCGGGCCGCGCGATCCCTGCAACCCTCAGCACACGGGTCTTCACAAAGTCACCCTCACCCCGTTCTACCAGCAGCAGGGGAGCTAGCCTACGCAACTGCATCATCAAATCCTCGCTGTGACTTCAACCATGTGCACATAAGTTCATTCACTGGACTTCATTTGAAGGACAACAGATAACAATTGTCCTTGACAGTTGTTGGACTTTGCACCATGAATATTTCCCATTTACTTCTCCAGCCCCACAAAGCTTCTGCTCCGAGTCAACAAACGAAAAAACCCAGCATGAGTAACCCAGATATCCATACAGAGTGCTTCCTGAAAAATCCCCCCCATTCCATGATCCTCTAATGAATATCCAACACTGTTGCTGTTGCATTTAATTATTTTCCTTCAATTCATGTAAACCACTTTTGAATTATAGCCTCGGAATTCTTATTTATAACAACCACTGGCAACACCACTCTCTGGAGCTCGAAATCCAAATTTCCCTTACAGGTGAAAGAAAAACTTGGCCAGAGTCTGTAAACAAAAGTAGAAAAAAAACATCCTTTGAAAGGTTTGTTGCGCCTACAAGAGAGTTTACTCACGGGTCGGTTTTGGTGAGGTTAAACATTTACAACTATAAAGTAGTCGAGTAAAATCTGCTTGTATAGAGTTGAAGGTGGACTGACAGAGATGGAGCTCTGTGCTTCCTTCTTTCTTTGAGGCTAGAGCCTCAAGGCAACATTAACCACCTTTAGCACATCCTTCCTGTACCAACTGCCTGTAATATGTTTTTTTTAACGTGTGGATCAGTGATGAAAGTCTTAAAAATCTTGAAGAATTTCGTAGGAAGTTGAACAGCTCTGGGAAGCGCAAGAGTCTTTTTTTCTTTTGTTTTTTTTAGTAAGGCTCTGCAAGAGTGTAGTAACTCATTTCTAATTTGCTCTCATTTCTTCACCTGATTAGAATAGTGCAGGCCTGTGTTCAGTTAGGTTTGGAGTCCCATTCCCCCTATGAGGAGAACCTCCTAAGCTTAAGCGGAATTCAAGAAACAGAGCAAATGGGGTACGTGAACTCAGTCATGAAACTTTAATGTTTGCACATCTTTTTCTAATCGTTAATACTGTATTCATGACTTGCAGGAGCCACAAAGCCATAGCTCTTTCTCAAAAGATGAGAGGCCTACACAAAGATTACAGCCAGGTCAGCTGCATCTCCCCAAATAGCTTTTTTTCCCCGGTTGTTTTGGCTTCTTTTTTTCTGTTTGTTTTGTTCAATTTAACATATTGAATTATGTTCTACTGTGGATATTAGATTATTTTATAATACAGCCATGGCAATTTGCTGATGAACAAAAGTGGAGTTTTATTGTCAGACTTACCTTAAACATGAGGTGTTTTTCTCCACCTTGTGTATATGAAGTGACAGCTTATAAAATCACTTCTTAAGGCTGTATTTTTGGGGGATTTTTCAGAGAGTTTTAGGGGATAAGCAGTCCGTGTCTTGGCGGCACGGTAAGGACGCAAGTGCTCACGACCTTTGGCTGGACAAGGCAGAGGTTTGCCTCAGCATGGGACTTTATCAGCAAGCTAGACAGCTTCTAGCAGAGGCCCACATGGTAGCTAAGGTGAGTTTAAAGAGGAAGGAAACAACAACAGCTGCTTTGTTTTCATCAAGCCGTTACCACATTCATTTTTCGTTGTCACATCAAAACAGAAGCGGATATGTGAAAGAAAAATATATGTGTCTAGAAATTTTATTACATTGGGGAGCAGTAGAAACATTTTTAGTTTTATTAAAAAAGACTGTTTCCGCAATTAAGTTTTAAATGAATACAACTCAGTTGTAATGTTGTTGTTAACATCTTGATGATGACGGTTGAGGATTTGCTGTCAATATCATGACAGCAAATCAATATATGCTTGACAAATTCAATCTTAAATATCATAGATAAAACCACAGCATATGTATTCTTCGTGAGTCTGGCAGCCCTATTAAGGGAATGGAATACAGCATCATGGATAATACTGATCTGTACATGCTGCATTCAGTGTCACCAGGGTGAAAATGGTTTTATGTCATCATAGAAATGCTGCTGTTTATGTTTTATTTCAAAGTTTTACTTTTACTCTGTTTTTGCTTAAGAATTCCCAGTTTTATGTTTGTTTTTATTTCAGTATATTTTATTTGAAAAATTATCTTAAATTAAATTTTGAAGGTTGTTTTGTTTGGTTTTTGTTCAAAGAGCTGCTAAGAGATTACTTTGAGGATACTTTCACAAACATTTTCACATGAATATATTAATTAAAAGAAAATCCTTGCTGATGTTAAACAATAATAAGCAAAAAAGTTCTTCCTACTTCATTGCTAAGCCAATGAGGTTTCAATCACATACATGGCACTGAGTCTATTTCATTTGGATGTACTTTTGATGGATAATTAATGGCTATAGCCTGTGGGAAACAATGAATACCTGATTTTCTTAATTTCTTAATTTTCTTCGTCAAACTCTTTACCTTTAGGAGCTTGGAGATGAGAGAGCCGTATCGAGGAGTTTGCTCGGTCTTGCCACTCTGGCTTGTGAGGAGCAGAACTATGCTCAGGCTTTGATCCTATTGGACAAAGCCCAAAGCGTGGGTGGGGATGATGAGTTCTGGTACCAGTTCACTCTTACCAAGGTCACAGCTGTTGTAGGCCTTGGAGACAAGGATTCACAAACCAAGGTGATAAAACAGACATCTGGAGTATAATTACCTACCTTTGTAGAGTACACATCCCATAATAGCCTTTTTTTTCTCTTTCTTTTTCTTAGGTTGATGAGATTATTAAAGAAGGCTGTGATGCTCTGCAGCTGGTTCTGGGGAAGCAAGTGAACAGAGGCCCAGAGCTCACTTTCATGATCACCTCATTAGAGAATAGGTAAGTCTGAAAAACTCATTGACTTGTTTGTTTTTCTGAGTGCATGCTGTAGTCATCACTCCTTAAAAAACACCATTGCTGTATACTCTGAACATGCCGTGGGGTTCAATTTAGTGGAAGTTAAAGAATTATGGAAGCGACCTCCAATTGGCATTTACTGGCATTGTCAAAATGAGGCAAGCTTGATTTAATACAGTTTGTGACGCTGTGTGTAAGAGGTGCGGTGGAATATGTTCACACCATCGTTGGAGTCGAACCCGGAGAGACGCTCAGCGCTAAGGTTTTCCAGAGGCTGAGAGGTGCCTGTGACACACTAAGACGGTGCGCCACCGTTTTCACCGAGCTGTGCTGTAGGGAGCGGGCTGCAAAGACGCTTGTAGAGCACGCCTGTGCTCTGAGGTCAGTCAGTCTGCTATCGCACGGTTCCCTAATTTCTAACAAACACTGTGGAATTTTGTTTAAGAGCTGTTGTAAACTATACCATTGTCAGTAAATGTATTTGAAGAAGTCTGAGGTTTAGAACTTTAGAATTTTATATGAACAAACTTCCCAAAGCAACTCCTAGCTCATACAGCTAATCTTCTACATGAATACACACTTAGAAATGTCTCAAACCACCATTCTTCTGTCTCTTCCGTAAATAACAGTAGAGCATATTTTGAAGTATCTAGATCCTCAATTAAGCTGCTCTTATGTACATTTTTCTTTGCATCAGGCGGTGAAAGGCATAAAAAAACATGGCCTATCAAGGCTACGAGTAAACTCCCAGATTGTAGAACTTTAGTAAAATCCTAAATTTAAAATCACAGCATCATCTTAGCTGTGAATTCCGCTGTACTAACATGCACGATGATCTGTCAGAGAGGAAGTTGGAAACAGTCTTTTTCCTGCACAGTCAATACTGTCAGGACATTGGACTAGAAATGCTTCAGTTTATTGTCCTCCTGTAGGCTAAAGTCATCACAAAGATGATGGTTTGGTTTGTAACCAAAGCTTAACTCAGTCGTGCATGTAAACACAATGTGTTATTACACTGCTATTTAATTTCAGTCTTCCTTATTTCCTCTTCTGCAGACTCCTCGCCTCTCATAGTACAGACAGAGAAACGCAGCAGCAATCCCTACTCGAGGGCCTTTCCCAAATGCAGCTAGCCGTCACGCTGCAGGAGCATGTGGCGCTGAATGTGCTGAGTCTGCTTTCTCCCCAGCAGGTAAGATGAGCACTTTCCTAAAAAAATAAAATCCATCTCCTTAATGTTTTGATAACCTTACATGTCTGGGACCATACCACGTCACTCCTCACCAGGTTGAGCTCGCATTCTCCATCGGCTGGACACACACATTCAGACCAGCTGCTAACTTTTGAGAACTCAGTCGGCATGCAATGCGCCCAAGAACTTTGCTTTGAGCAGTTGCAGAAGTACATTTGCTTGGCTCTCACAATGTCAGTGAAACGTTAGAGGACTGCTGGCTTATTAAGGGGCTGTGCAGATGGCTAATTCTATTTAGAGAAGCCTCAGAGCTTGTTTTTCCATGATGAGGAAAGAAATTCTCCTGTGAAAAAAGCCTGTGAGGCGGAGTGATAGAAATCGAGGCTCTAATGTGTTTTCTGCATTTAAAATAAAAGGCTTTTATAAAATAATAACACTCAGACTGCAGTTGCCGTGTGTAGTACTCTGCTTAAGACTTTTTTGTATCATATCACAAAAACTTGGTGATAGAATCCCCTATTTTCCTCCCGCTCTCAACACAATGTCACAGATCTCACAGTCTGTATGATGGCCTTAGTGGCAGAGATGAACTGGCATAACACTGGCTGAAGCAACTGAATTTCGATTGCAACGTTCTGCGGATAGTTGACGTGAAGGGTAGAAGCCAGTTTGTTGCCCTTTGCTTTCAGTAGATGGTGCTGCAGCCCAGCGGAGGACATGTTCTGGCATCCAACCTGCCAAAACATCCGCTTGGTTTCCCAAAAGCCATCAGCTGTAATCACCGACAGCTTGTTTACTCCTCTGTGTCCACATTCACCGCTATCAACCATAAAATGACCAATGTACAAATGGAATTAAGTTTATACTTGTAACAATAATCCGCCTTTTACCTTTCGTGCTAGAAATGTAATGATCACAATATTGAGTCAGAACAGAACAATACCTGCAATACAATGTACGCAGTTTTGTTTGCTTCTTGATATTCACTTCAGCTTTTTCCATGTATTCTCTCTCGCCAGAGTCTTGAACTCTCGCTGGCAGCTGTTAGGAAGCTGCTGCGCCTGCGGCTGACCCTGGCAGATTTTTGTTTGACTGTTCTGGAGAGGCACTGTGCGGCAGAGATGCGCCAAGCGTTGGTCCATGCGGGGAAGACCCCTGCCGAAATAGCACTGGAGGAGTTCACTCGCAGCTCACCTGAGCCAGACTCTACCGAGGAGGTGAACAAGCTCCTAAACCAACAAATCTGCTCTATACATGAAGTAATGTTTCCCCCTTAAATCAACAAATGAATACAAATTGTCCAAGAATTCACATCGAGGGATCTTAAAACACACAAATTCATTAACAGATTAAACCTTTTCTGAAACACACCGTAGATGTTTAGTACAACAGCAGAACAGGCAGATCCCTTCAGCCAGCTATCATTTCATTACAACAGAGAGTGAATGTCTGTCATGGCTGTTAAAGAAAGAGAACTGTCCTGGATTGAACCAGAGGAATCCATGAATACAGCCAAGAGATCTTACCGATGACAACATCGGTTTGATTGGAGGGAAATCAAAGAGTCTGTAATCTCAGCAATATGAGGGCAGGATCAGCACCTGATCCATAGAATCAGATAGGACCAGAGGTCCGGGCTGAGCAAAGACATTCCTTTAGATGGTTGCTCAAGATAGCATTGTGTCAAAAGCAAGCTAGAACAGGGAATGCTAAAGGGTCATACCAGGTAAATTAGTAAGTGTACATATGTGAACATCTGTCAGGAGTAGACGGTGAAACTCTGTGAGAGACACTGTTATACACATTCAGAGTGCTAGTCTTCCAACTGGGCAACGTAGCAGTGGACACAAAGCAGAAAAGGGAAAGTTGTGATAGATGTCCCACTCCCAGATGACAGTCACAGGTTCAATGAGGAAGGATTAGGCTGGAATATTGTGGAATTCCAGTTCCATATGGCTCCTGCTGTTATACAGGCATTAGCAGCTGTTATCTGGAAACTGGGAGAACAGCAGGACAGTTTGTGTGTCCCCCTCCCCCCGTAGAATGTACTCTCAGCTGTCCGAGCAGAGGTTTCACTAGGTGTTTATATCATTTATGCGAGAGGTTCTCATGCAGCCATGATGGGTTTGATGTTGGAACGTCAACCATGTTTCATCAGTTTGTCTCAGGTAAAGTGCTTTAGAAATTGTATGAAGTGCTCAGCAGTCTAAATATAAAATGACAGGGTGATAGCTGGAACATTTTATGAAAAAAAAAGAAGAAAAAAAGATGAAAGAACTGTTTGGCACTGACGGAATATAACACCTGGACACTCCTGGCAGCTGTGGCGTCCTCCTATATCCACATGTTGGCCTGTCGGACTGGGTTTGTCAGCCTTTCTTAACGCCTCAAAAGATTATTTTTTTTCATTCACTCAAGTATTCACTCAATAACTTTATTAATTTAGTTAATTAGTTCGATTTTTCTTGGTTTTTGAAATGCCCCATGACATGATGCTAAAGTCTCGGTCACGTGACTTTGCATCTCTATAGAAACCCAAAGTTCTATTTCCTATCATTTTTCTCTAGCGGGTGCTTTGCCTAAGACAATCAGCTGGATTAATTTGCGCACTGAAGAGTTTTTGAATAGCTGTCAAGGGATAATATAAAATTATTCCGCTGTACTCTTTAGAAATGTCTACAAAACACTGTAATTGACGCTCAGTTATTAATTTATAATTTGCTTCCATCTATATGTATCACTTGACGCATGCGTGCTGTTGAACAAAGGCTCACAATATTCCCCCAAAACTCCAATTACCTCACGATGATCATTCATAAGAAACCAATACATGTTGAATGTAGCATTTCATTTTTGTGAGAAAACGTAAATGAAAGTTTTATTTGTGTACAAATACTTGCTTCTAAGACCCAATGCTCTGGCTTTGACTAATATCCATATTTGGCCGTAATTGGCTTGTGTCATGTCCAGGAGTGGATGACTGCCGGCAGAACATTGGGGCAGATGGCTGTGAGCCAGCTGGCTGCTGTCAGCGCTCACACCTCAGACGACAAGGAGATCAGAGCTCGCTGCCTGACCCTGATGGGAAAGTATCTGAGGCTGACGGCTGCGCGCAAGGAGCCCATGTATCTAAATGGTATCTGGGACAGGCACAAGCAGGTAGACACTGAATATCCACGCGTGCAGTGGCAAACGATGTGCACACACTACTTTGCAGTTTGATTTCAAAAGCTTTGTCTGAAATTTGCCACACAGGGCCACAAATTTGCAGGGCTAAAAGTTAAAAGCAGATAAAACCATTGGCCCTCAATGTTTACTGGATCTTATTCTAATCCAAGTTTTTGTGTTTTTCATTTTCAAATAACTTTGTGCAGAAGGGGGCCTGGTCAGATCCTAAAGGTTTTACCGCAGAGGAATCGTCCTCTGAGAAAGTAGAAGCCGATCCAAGCAGAAAAGAACTGGGGATGACCTCTGCTACAAATTCTAAGCTGCAGGTATTATACCTCCTGACAAGTGACCCCTTCGCTCCTGGCTTGTCCCTAATCGTGGTTATTCATGGTGCCGTTTTCCTCACATCACAAATCCCTCTGATAGACAGAAAAAAAACAAATGGACGTCATGCATAATTCTTATTGAAAATCAGCACACAGAGATCTCAGACTTCAAACTTTGGTGCAGAGTAAAATGGGGGCAATGTATAATTTATACTTCAACATTTTGACACTTAAAGTAGTATGATAAGACTGAATTTTGACATAGACATCTCCAGTGAGATTAATTATAGTGGTACAAGTTACTCCCAATACCATGGAGCTGTTGGAATTTTACCAGAACCCTATAATCACATTTACTGACAGCTTTAATCAGGTCATTTATTGCACTTTTGTCTTTGTTGATACTGTTACCAGATGAATTTTTTCGTTTATATTTTTTATCTTTACCAACTAATTTTGGAGAAACTGCTGTAATACTGTGTGAGGATGTAGTTACAGAAACGGTTTCCATTTATTGACAGTATAAGTATTCGTAAAACACAACTTCCACTTAAACCTTGAAATAAGCAAACCTTGGAAATTGGTTAGAGCTATGAAAGCATTTTTTAACGTTTAATATTGCATAGTCCGTTCCATCTGTCATAATCAGATAAACCTGCTACACAACATGTATAGAACAAATCAGAATCGTTTGCTTGCTTTGGTCAGCTGTTGCTGTTTTGTAATGAAGCGGAAACAGAGCACTAATGACTGACCCTGCCCTGTGCAGCTGTTTTTACCCCGGTCCACTCATTCTTTATCTCTTATTCTGCTTTGTCCTCTGTTATGAGTAAATATGTCGCAATACTCCATCTTGTTCAAGCTAACTTTTATCCAGTCAATATTAAAAGGTCACATAGCACCATCTCAGTGGGCTGATCGCTGTTAGCTATTCATGAGACTGCAAGCAAGCCCATCTGGATTGTTCTAAAGCCAGATATCCTTCAGATTTCAGAGGATACCTTTTTGCTAACAGAAATTAATTCTAGGCTGATCAATTTTGTAGCCGATTTTCTACCCATAGCATCCAACTGCTAGTTATATAGGAAAACAGCATGAGATAAGACAGCATCAAATTAATCCAAACAACATCCACATGTATCGGACAATCACAAAAGCACAATATGCTGAACATCATCAAGCTTGGAGTTGAATGTGTAACCCACACAAAGTGGTAATGAAATATTTTAGATGGGGGAACTATTTAAAATACAGTGTTTTGCATAGGTCATGTGTCAAAGGAAATTAACTTGTGCTACATTTAGCTGTAACAAATGAATAATATGAGGTACATACGGTCACTCCTGCTGCATGGTGTGCATTTAACAATGTAGAACATTTGAAGCCTTGCTCCGTCTATGATTTTGTTTCTGTCTGTCTGTGTGTAGCAGAGCAGCCATAAAGCTCAACTGCTGTTGGTGGAGGCCAGAAAAGCCTTATCTGAGGCCATCAGTCTGTGTCTCCAAAATAACATGTCCTCCATCCTGGCCGATGCCTCTCTAAATATGCTGGAGTGTCAGGGCCAGTCGGACCCTGCAGTGGCCGGTCAATGCCTCGCTCTGTTTCAGGTACAGGGGTCACGAGGTCACATAAGCAAATCCTTTCCTTGTTATTTATTGAGTGTGCAACATCTGCAGAATGCATGGCATTTCGAAGCACAATACATTTCCTGACATTTTAGTGCGTGCATCGTATTGTTACCTAAAGAAATCCCTGTTGTCACCCGCAGTCCTGTCATCCATAGTCTGCTTTATTCCCAGAGCTGCTGTGCCGTTTCCATGGCGGCTGAGGTCCTGCGCTCTGCCTGCCCCGACACCACGAGGTCCCAGCTCTCGGCTCTGCTCTGCATCCACAGGAATCTGCTCCTCTCTCAGGAGGAGAGACCCAGCAGCATGCTGAAGGGAGTGGAGGAGTCTCTCATAGGGATCTGCAAAGTATTGACTTGCCCCCATTCATGATTTATGGATGCTGTCATGTGCCGCCCAGTAAATTTCCCGTCATGGGTGGTATAATGTTGGCGCTCTTATGGCCTTTGCTCCAAATGTACTGAAGGATTCTAAAATCACACAGAGTAATGGAGCTGCAAACATATTTAATCATAAAGATTTTGATGTCCTACATTTCCCAGTAGCTGGCCCGCGATTTATCTGGGCTGCAGCCTTTTTAATATAAAGTTTCAGCAAATTGCGTGCTGTCTGTATTCTGAAAGGCTGTTTTGGTAGATTACCTCAGAAACATGGTACAACCAAGCTGAAAAAGTATATTATTTATTTAATCATTTATGCTTATACCATGGTGATTATTTTATCTGATCACATCAATATGGATGAGACTTTTGATGCCATTTTTTATACTAATGATACGGCTACTGCAAAAGAGGTATTTTTCTTCTTCACTGGAAATTAGGAAATTCTCCTAAAATTAAATAGCAAAGACCAGAAGAGACATTATTTAGATAAAAGTACATATTTTTTTATGTATTTATCATTGCCCTCATTTGTGATGCTGAAACTCATGTCTTTTTCACAGGCCTTCAGCCACCTGACCATCAGTCCCAATCACTTAAACATCCTGTCAGAACTCCCACCAAACCTGAAGATCTTGCTGCTTCAGCACTCTGAAGATGGGTAACTGCTATTTAGCCTCCTTCCATATTCTCTTGTCTCTCCTGTTAGTGAGCGGTTAATTGTGCCCTCTGTCTGGCACTCGTGGAGCCACGGCACATGACTAAAACACTGCAGGTCCCAACAGTCGCATTAGGTTTAGGCTGCAGTCCTTTTTGAGACAGGGGGAGCTTATTGTGTGGTGAACCTGCAGGGCAGATGGTTGAGTTTGTTGCTGAGCTATCTCTTATGAATAGGGATGCGCTGCTGCTGTGTGGCCTGGATATTATTCAAATAATGTCCTACTCTGCTTACATTATGTTGTTAATGAATAAAAACAATAATTCTATGTGTGTTTTTTTTGCCTGTTTTGTATTTCTTTAGGTCAGAACTCTATGGGGGTTTTTATGGGATGACTAAAGCTCCAGACAATCAAAAAGTAAAGACTGCTCAAGGTACGGACTGAATAATCACACATTTGCAAACTCTAATGCAGATGCAATGACAAAAAGCCATAGAGGAGGAATATATGACAAATACAAAAAGTTAATGACCTTTAATTGCTTTTATAAAAAAGCCTAATCTGAGCACCAAGTAATGGAGCTTCCTTATCACAAAAGTATAGAATCGTAGCTCCTTTGAATCTCTCTGCCACCAACTTATAAGCCATATGATTAGCATATACCATCCCCTATTCCCATGTCTGTTCCTGAGATTTTTATGAAATAACAAGTTGCAGAAGTGGCAAAGAAATTGTCATACAATGCCATCGAAACCTGCGGCATTAGAGTGAAGACAAGTTCATTAAAAAAAACGATGTAAGGAACAAAAAGAAGGCAGGCAAAGAGAGAAAGATTTCTTAAAAACAGATTTTTTTTTAAAAAGAGGCGCTTTTGGGACCTTTTTCCCCTGTATGTATGTATCTGTGAATATGCAGGACCTGTTGTATGTTCGCTATTTTGTTGCAGGTACCCTAACATGCTTGAGGGTGGCCAAGGCTTCAGTCTGCCCGCAGGCGCTTCTGTCACTCCGGGAGCAGACTCTGGCTTTCGACCAGGAGACTGGACTTTCTCTCCTTATGGAAGACTCTTGGCACGGAGCCGAAAGCTGGTCGAAGGTTTCTGCTCTCCTCTTTTACAAGAGCTGTGTTTTGTTTGTTTTTTATTCACTCACAACAGTACTCCCTCATAAAGAAGCTCACTGCACCACAGTTACCATCTCATTTCTTATTTCACTTAATAGGGAACTTGGGACGGCTGAGTTTCACATCCAAGCTTTGTGTAGCCATAAAAATAAAAAAAACGCATACAGGAATGTTGTCAGTGGCCTGAAAAGACAAACCAAAAAACAGCAAGTCAAAAAGCATTGATTTTCTCTCTTATTCCCCCATACAGGTCACTGCCAGACATTCAAAGTCAGCACTTCTCTACAGAGGAATTGTACGTGATATGGAAGGCTATTTGAAGCCACTTCTGACACAGTTTGACTTCTCTTGCATAAGGTAAAATAACAGCAGGCTTTCCCAAAGTTTAGTTCCCACGGTGTTGACGTAGTGCGAATGGACCCTTTAACATTTCTCATGTCTTTGTTTTTAACTATCCGGGCAATAGACTCAGTACAGTTTTGTGCAGAATTGTTCAAATCCGCAAAGCACAAGCAGTTATATTGAATTTACATAACTCTGCCCTTGCTTTACCCGAGACCCCAAGTCTTGATGAGCATCCCAAAAGATCAGCACGCGTTTTTCTCTTCTACCCCTCAGACCCAAAACTCCACATGAAAAGGTTTTTATCCAGAATTACTCAACATCCTGGATAAAAACTAAACTCATTGTTTTACATCTACTTCCCTTTCTCTAAACAACTGTTTCCTACAGAATGATGATGTTGTGTGCTCTTGAAAAATACTGTGGAAATGTTTTTCTCTCCTTCCAACCAAATCTGCAGTAACACATAGATCCACTAGTAAGATATTAAATGTGTTCTATTAGGACTTTACTCTTGTATCTACCACAGATCAGGTAGAAACTTTCAGCAGTTAAACAAAAAAAAATGCATTCCAAGGTATCTGAAAGCTTTATAGTCCTGATAATCCTAAACTGTCCTCTTCTCCCTCCATTAGGCCACAGGCTGCCTCTGAAATGACCAAAAGCAAAGATAAAGAAGAAAAGGGTAGCTCAGGTAACGTTTGTTTGAGTGTTTGGTGTAAGGTCGCTTGTGTCCCTGATACACAGAAGTAGTTGTTGTTATCTTTACGCCATGTTACATGAATTACTATTCACATGTCTGTTGTGAATCCTGCACGTTGTGCGGTCAGGAACTTTTCCCCCTCAGGGCCCGTGATGTTGCTGTTCCAGTGGTTTGACACAGTCACAGCAAATAATAAAAGATCAAGACATTAAACAAAAACGAAACCTGGATGTTCGATAAGAATTCACAAAAAAAAGATAGATGTTAGACTCCGTTATGATATATTTACTTAAATACTTCCAAAAAACTAATGTCTTTTAGCGTATAGAAGCAACTAATTTCAACCAGCTAAAATCTGTGTTAAACTTTCAGCATCTGTTATTGTTAAAGAATTCTGGTGGACATTTTTTTTTTCTCCATAAAGTGTGTTTGCATTTCGCAAAGATTTTCTGTTGAGTTTGGGATCATCATGCTGTTGCAGCAGCTTTTAGATGGTCAGATCAACACTATGACCAAACATCAAAAGACATTGTGTCAGCGGTCTTGTGCTTTACTCAGATGCAACTTTGCAAACCTAAGCTGAGAAGAGACCTTGTCCTGAAAACCTTTCCAGACACATCCTTGTTAAGTTTTTTTTACTAAAGGCAGAATGTTACAGTAGCTGTGGACACATTGTGTATGTTTTATACACATGAACTGGAACAATTTACCCAGCTGTTTGGGTTGTCATTGCCAGCTGTATGCTGGAATTATTTTCTCTGGTAATTCCTTCTCCTTTATACAATCCCTAAATGTAATTCATCCATCAAGATGAAGCCCTCTGTAGGAAAGCATCACCTGAAGAGCAGCCCATTAAAGAAGAGACATCCAGGATTAAGGGTGGGAGCGAGGCAGACCAAGGGTAGATTGGGAATCGATTTTATTTCCTGTGCAGCTGTTGAAAGCGGGAGCCTTAGTGAATGGGATGGACAGGCATGGAGCCCTGGTTAAGACAGAGCAGGAATCTAGTGTAGGTTTCATACAAACAGGCTGCTGGAACAACTCCAACAGATCTGTGCCCCTGAAGGTGGAGTCGACAGACTTTTTTTTTGTAAGCCTGGATGTGTCACTGTGGAGACACATGTCTGCATTCCAGATGTTGAGCTGGTGGCTTTGAGTTTCTATTTGGTTGCCAATTTAACTTGATTAAACTGAAATTAACTGGCCTTTCAATCATTCTGAGATTAATGAGGGGGGAAGATTAAGAGCAAACCGACAAACATTCTAGTTGGTTTCATACTAAAACTCAGACTCCGATCACTTGGTACATTCCCTCTTAATTCAAAATGAAATCGTGAGGGTATGATTTGATTATTTGTACATAATTTCTCCATTTAGAAAAGTTTTGTTCAATAAAGTTGTTCTTTCCCAGTTGTACCAGGTGAGAATCTGGTGATTCTCGCAGACAAGAAGTTGCTGGAGTTACCACTGGAATCTTTGTCCATCCTTCAGTCGGAGGGTCTAAGTTCTGTGTCACGAGACTTCTCTTTGCAAATTTTCTACAGCCGCATAAGAAAAGAAGAGCCACCGAAAGGTACCAAATCCATTTTAAAATATTAGCAAGCCCTCCTTATCTATTTCTACCGCACCTTCTACTTTTAACACAACTTTTTCATGAATTTGAGTTCAATTCAGTAATTTGTCCCATCTGTCCTTAGTTGTTCAATCTAAGAAAAACATACATAGATTTTTTTAAAGTTTGGCTTGGCAGAAGCAGGGACAGACTGCAGCACTTGCAGAATGCTGCTGACTGTGCCACTGATGCAACATCACATAATCACCTGTGTGCATCAACCTCACCTGATGCAACCTGATGGAAACATTTCCATGTTGTTTTACTCGATGGCATTTTCTATCTTAAAGAGGTGATTTGCGTTCTGTGAACACTGGAATATGTTTCACACAGAAATTTGCAAAAAACGGTAGTTTTTCGTATGTAAGAATTTTATCTTTTATTTTAAAAAAGTGCTAATCTAATAATGATATGTCTTATTAATTTATTTATTTGCTTTGCATGGAACAATTACAGAATAAGTCAAGTTGCCCAATCGTGGCTACATCTGTTTATAAGTACTTTTAAGTTTTTTATGAGTGCTTTATGTTTCGAAAGAGTCTCGTGAATTTAACACGTCTAATCCTCATTATCAGAAACTATTTCCACCCACAACACAATGCAAAAGTCTAACCCTAAGGCTTGCACACCTTAAAGGACAAAAGAATTCCATGACTGAAGTAGACATAACTTCCTTGTTATGTCTTTAATATGATGTTGGTGAAAGATTTTGAAAGTGACAAGCAAGTTTTAATCAACAATCAATCATTTAAAAGGGAAAATTATGTATTGCCAGTAGCAAACTTTTAGTTCCACAGTCTCTAATAAATGTCACTGACTTTTCAACTGCTGAGAAAGTTTTTTTCATTTTCTTTCACCGGTCCAAACGCTGTGTAATCTACCCTGCAGAAATGCGTCTGTGTTAATTCTGCTTCCTGTTTGCAGCAGTTGAAAGTGACAGCAAAAAAGAGACTAAAGGTGGCAAGGGAACGAAGGGGAAGGCAGATCAAAGCCAAGCCATCAAAGTGGTGAGTTCAGTAAATTAATCTGGACTTCCCAGATACAGACAGCAATATTACTTTTACCTCCTGTCAGGACAGGCAGCCATTTCAGTTCCACCCGCCTCTCTTTTAAGTGTGCTTTTTCAATCAATTACATAATGTGTTTCCACGAAAATTCTGTATCCAGCCTTTGAGCATTAATCCTCTGTTATGCACCACTTCTGTTCTTAAAAGCAGACCTGTTTTACTTGGAACCATTTCTCCGTCTCCTCAGTCTTGTTCACGTTATACTTGCATTTATAGAAATGTATATATAAATATATATACATATATTTGTCTGTGTGTGTGCTTGTGTCTTAATTCTTGGAATATTAAGTGCAATTAAATATAAGGCGCATCCCACTAACTTTTAAAAGAAAGAAAAATGGACATACAGGCCACACGTGCCTCTTAGCTGAAG